CCGGAGACCCCGCTCCTCCCCATAGCAGCGGTACTCGCCACTGTGCTTGGGCAGCGTGTCCGTCACCAGCAGCCCATCCACCCCGATGCGCAGCCGGTCCTGCCCCATGCCCAGCACCTCACTGCCGTTCAGGAGCCAGACGGCTCGTGCCAGGTTGGAGCGCTGGTCGCAGGGCAGCAGCACATCATCCCCCCGCAGCACCGTCCGGTTCTTTTTTTTGCAGCACCGTCCGGTTCTTCCACAGCAGGGAGCCTGCGGGGACACGCACCACCTCGCACCCATCCCAGCCACCCTGAGGGACACCAGCCACCAGCATCCCCCGCGGGCCTGAGGGTCGGCGCAGACTCACCCCGCCCGGAGCTGCTCCGGCATCCCTCGTTGCCACCCTGAATGTCCTGCACCAGCCCTTTGCTGCAAGACATGGCGGGGCTTCAGCCATACAGCCCCGGCAGAGCTCACCCTTATGGGGTCACAGCCACGCTTTGGGGTGGCACCAGGGTGACCGTGCCATGGGCTGACATGCAACAGCACGGGATGGGGCAGGTGGAAGGTTCACGGGGACCCCGCTGGGGACGGGCAGACTGTCCGTACCTGGCGGCACGGCAGGCCCTGCCATCCCAGGCGCAATAGGGGTCCCGGGCGAGGATGCAGTCGTAGCAGGAGGCGTACCTGGCGCAGGAGGCCAGGGGCACCTGCAGTATCCCGCTGGCTGCCCCCACGTACAGGCTCCTCTGGGGGGAAAGGGCTGGCTCAGCACTGCCCTGGCATGGTGCTCAGAGATCTGCCCCCCCAGCTGCACAGCACAGCTCTGCCTTGGTGGGGGTACACGGGGAAGGGCCCCCAGCTCCAGTCAGTGCCAACAGCTGCAGCTGGCACCTGGCAATGAGGTGGGGGCCAGGTTGGTCCCTTTTCCTAGGCTGCCCCGCTGGGCTCTGGCACATGTCCCAAGCTGGGGTGACCCAGGACTCATGTCCCCTCATCCCCCAAACAGCCCAGTGGTGGCATCGCAGCAGAAACACACCCCATGTGTGGTGTCCCCCCACTTCTTCCACCCCTCACCTGGGCGTGGGAGATCACCAGGCTCTCCACGGGCTGTGGGTCCCTGAACACCTGCACCTCTTCCACGATGTGGATGCCGGAGCCTATCACCACGGCCTTGTGGATCCAGCCATCCGCTGGAGAGCAGAGTCGGGGGTCAGGAGGGGGTGTGGGGTGTGCCCCCTGCCCAGCAGAGACATGGAAAACTCATCCCACACTCACCTGTCCCCATGAAGAGCACATCATAGGAGTGGCCGTCGAGGGCCCGCACCCTGTCCACGGCCAGCTGGCTGTATGCCACGCTCTTCTTCACCAGCAGCGGCTCCCCGCCAGCTGGCTTCACCTCCTCGAACATGAGTGGGTGCAGCTTGACAAAGTCCAGGACGCTGTTGGGCAGGTCCTGTGAGGAGTTGTAGCCCTTCCTGCGGGAGCGGTCCGTGATGCACTGCCCGAGGAAGATGGGGGTCAGGGGGGTTGCAGCCGCCCCATGCCCCCCACCCTGCTGGGCACCCCCGGGCACTCACGGATCCGGGCCGGGGCTCAGGCACCACACCGTCGTAGCGGGACCACTTGCGAGCCGAGTCCTGGTACTCCATGTAGGGGCCCTCGAAGGCGCGCTGCACCGCCGAGATGCTGTAGCGGCACACGGCCGAGGCCTCCATGGTCCTCCTGGGGGGCAGAGCCCCACCTGAGCCCGGGCAGACACACGGGTGCTTCCCACCGACGCACCCCCAAGTGCTGAGCGCCTGC